AGGGCTGGCCCGTGCAGACACCGCCCTGCCGCCGCTGGATTAAAAGGAAAATGCTTTCTTAATGAGATCAAGTGAGGCCTGTTCTCCCGCGCTTTCCTGGTGCCCTAAAAACCCAGCCCAAGGCTACAGAGATTAAAGTCACCTTTGTTCAGCTCTGGAGCAGGGAGGCCTCCAGTAGAACAGCACTGAGGCCTGGTGCAGGGGTGGGGGTGCCTGTCTCCCCACAACAGAGGAACCAGGAGAAGAGGGGAAAGAAGCTGTCCGGCCACAGGCCTCACGCACAACTCAGACCCTCAGTTTCCTCTTCTGTAAAATGGGCTCACCTGTGTAGTAAGTAAGTGCAGGAGACTAATGTCCTGCTTTAATCGCCCTAATGGCCACAGAAGGTGGGCACCATTACCAGAATGTACAAGTGGGGAAAACCCTGCCTTTCAGAGACCCAGACACTACCCCCACACACACCCACACACACATACGACTTCCCCGATGGGACTGCAGGAGGAAGAGCAGGGCAGTAAGGGCAGCGGGACTGGAGGAGGGCAGGCGGGGGGACACCCACAGGAAGCAGCATTGTTCCTGGAGCTGCGATTCAAAGAAACACAGGATGCCAAGTTCTCCCCCAACCATTGTGGCTGCGGAGGTGGCAGCACGGCAGCCTGGCCCGCTCCAGGGAGGGGTGGGGGAGGAGCCACATGGGCCAGAGGCCAGACTCTTCATCCTGGACTTCAAGGCCCCTCCCAGTGTGGCCCCTGGCAACCCCACCACTGCAAACCGCCACTCCAATTGCTGGAAATTTCTTGCATGGCCCCATGCTTGTGCTCGTGATGTCCTTTCTAGACACTTTTTTACTCACAGTCTAGCTCAAATGGCACCTCCTCCAGGAAGTCTTCCCTTCCCCCAGCACATGGGTCAGATGCCCAGTCTCAGCTCACACAGCCTACCTGAGTTTTCCCCAGCACACCCCTGCCTTCCTGGGTCTCCCTCATCAGGTCATCTGAGTCACCTTGCACAGGCCTGGGAAAGGTGGGCCCTCTGCTGTGATTTCAGGAACCCCTGCCTCCAACACACCACTGAGGAGAGCCAGCTTGCTAGTACAAAGGGTCCAAAGCTGGAGGCGGATCCTGCCTCTCCTATGTGGGAGGCTGGAAAAAGACACACTTCATTGTGACCCTTTGACAGGGCCCTTGGGCTCAGTGGAGTGATGGCCCCACCCCTTCTCTGAGCATCTGGTGGACTTACCCTACACCTCCACACCCTGCCCAGTCCTCTTTTTTATCACACCCCATTGGAAGGTGAGTTTCTCCCATTTCAGAGATGAACAGACTGAGGATCAGACAAGTCCTAGGTTTTTCCCAAGATCACCCAGCCCAGCTGGGACTGGTACCTGAGACCCTGACCACATCCCCTCTGCTGAAGAAAATCTCAAAATTCCAAGTGAAAAGTACTTAGAGCTAGCTGGTGGCAGTCCAGAGGGGGCTAAGTGCTCCTCCAGGTCACACAGCAGGAGGGCCCAGTGCTGAGGAGGGGGTGATGCACCAGGCTCAGGGATGGCGCCCTGTAAGGGCTGTCAGTCAGGGATTGGAGGGGGTAGGCCCTCTCATCGCCAGGCAACCTGAGTGGCCAGCACGCTGGTTCCCATGGAGCGCATAGCTGCACACAAGAGGCCCGACGCGGAGAAAGGGGCTTTGTTACCTTGCCCAAGGGGCCGGCGTGAGAGCCGACCCGGCGCTGGGAATCCTAACGGCCCAGCCGCCAAACAAAACCCACTGCCCCCACAGCCCCCTCCCGCAGGACGGCTGAGCCCCTGGGAAAGGGACATAGTGTTCCCGGGAGGCTGTCTGCTATGGGGTTCCCAGGGCCCCCTTCCCATGCCAGGGGACCCTGTCACCTTACTCCCCACGATGACCTCACCAGGGCCCTGCACCCCACGCCTTTCCCCCCGAAAAAAGGTCAGTCAAGCTAGAAGTTCCTATGTCCCTGGAGCCCCCATCCTCATGCCAAATGTCCCTGAACCTCCCAGTTGGGGGAGATTTCCTCCTCTGCCCCCCCACCCTAGGGCCCACACTCTACCCTGTTCCGCCCCAACAAAGCCAACCGTCCCGCTGTAGCCTCGAGGGAGATTTTCAAAGTGGGGTGTGTCTTTATTATGTGTGTGTAAGAAGCTGATGCTTAACTGGGGTATATTATGCACAAAGTTCTGGCCTCAAAGACTTGCATGGTGGAAACGGGGTTTCTGTACAGACGCTAAAACCCAATGCTATCTTTCTTCTGAGAGGTATTCCTCAGGGCCCACGCACCACCAATGACTTTCCCCCATACTGTAGTAACCCGGGATGCGGAAGAGGACTGGGTCTGAGCCACTGAAGGGGCCCTAACCCTTCGCTTCACCTCTAAGGGAAAAGACTTCCTCCTGAAGAGGGGTATGACCCTAGGGTGGATGCCCATGATGGGCCCATGCAGAACCTGCTGGAGAAAGCTTGGGGACAATACACTTCTAATGCGTTCCAGTGTGTGGGAGGCAAGAAGCATCACAGGGCAGCAACTCCCAGCACTGGAGACAGGTGCAGGGTCAGTTCAGAGCAGCCACTCAGGGCTTGCCTAAGAGTGACCCTCACCCCCCAGGCACCTCCACAAGTGGACGAGGAGAGTGGCCATCAGCAGGTAAACAGGACTCGGGGAGATGGACTGTCATCACTGTCCTACCGACAGTCCCAGTGCTGGGCAGGGATGCAGCCTAGCCCCCATCGGACTGTCCTTAGCTGGACAAGACGATGCGCCCTACCCCATCAGTCCTCCCAGGCCGTCGGGGCTCACCATCTCCTTGTGGCGCGAGATCCAGGTCTCCAGTAGCAGGTCGAGGCGCGCACGATGAAACTTTTTGGTGGTCTTGACTGCGATGAAGACGTCGCGGGGCGCGAGCGGCTCTGCCGGGGGCCGCGAGTGACCTCTGGCGGGGTCGGGAGCGTCCCTGGGCGGCGGGCCGGCATCTCTGCGCGCGCGAGTCAGCAGGCTGAAGTACTCAGACAGACTGTGCACCTCACGGACAAGCGCACCAGGAGCCGCCGCGGCCGCCCC